CCAGCCTCGGGGTGCACTCCATAGACCTTCAGCCTCCTGGCTTGGAGGACAGGACCCATCACCTTACCTGCCCTCTTCCCCCCTAAAGGTACTTCTTCCCTCTTTCTTTACCCTCTCATCATCCCTGATGCCTTTCCCTTCATCCCACCTCTCCTTTCTCCTTTTGGATATTTCCATCCTTTAGGCTCCTCAGCCATCCCTCCCTCAAGCTCTCCATCCCGACTCATCATCCCTCCCTGCAAACTCTGAGCCTCCCCCCCACCCCGCCCCACAAACTGCCCTGGGGCTCTCTGCTCTCCCCCATCCTCCTCCCCCTTCTCAGGTCCCTCTCCCTCACTTCTCCTCCCCTGACCCTGGGTCCTCCTTCCTGGGTGCCACCATGACCGTGATGGCTGGAGAGAACATGGATGAGACTTCTGCGCTACCTGGCCACCCCCAGGATAGCTACCAGCCCGCTGCCCACGATGACCATGAATGCTGTGAGCGCGTAGTGATAAACATTGCTGGACTACGCTTTGAGACACAGCTGAAGACCTTAGCCCAGTTCCCCAACACTCTGCTGGGCAACCCCAAGAAGCGCATGCGGTACTTTGACCCCTTGCGCAATGAGTACTTCTTTGACCGGAATCGGCCCAGCTTTGATGCCATCCTCTACTACTATCAGTCTGGGGGGCGGCTTCGCCGGCCGGTCAATGTGCCCTTGGACATGTTCTCTGAGGAGATCAAATTTTATGAGCTGGGTGAGGAGGCCATGGAGAAGTTCCGGGAAGATGAAGGATTCATCAAAGATGAGGAGAGACCCTTGCCGGAGGGGGAGTACCAGCGCCAAGTATGGCTCCTCTTTGAATACCCAGAGAGCTCTGGGCCTGCAAGGGTCATTGCAATAGTCTCTGTCATGGTGATCCTCATCTCCATCGTGATCTTCTGCCTAGAGACATTACCTGAGCTGAAAGAGGACAAGGAGTATACAGTGCATCGCACTGACAACACCACCCAGGTCTACAAATCCAACATCTTCACAGATCCCTTCTTTGTTGTGGAGACCCTGTGCATTATCTGGTTCTCCTTTGAGCTGGTGGTGCGCTTCTTTGCTTGCCCCAGCAAGACTGAGTTCTTCAAGAATATCATGAACTTCATTGACATTGTTGCCATCATCCCTTACTTCATCACCCTGGGCACCGAGATGGCCGAGCGGGAGGGGACTCAGAAAGGAGAGCAGGCCACCTCCTTGGCCATCCTGAGAGTCATCAGACTGGTAAGAGTCTTTCGAATCTTCAAACTCTCCCGGCACTCTAAGGGCCTCCAGATTTTGGGACAGACCCTCAAAGCAAGTATGAGAGAGCTAGGTTTACTAATCTTCTTCCTCTTCATTGGGGTGATCTTGTTCTCTAGTGCGGTATATTTTGCTGAGGCTGAAGAACCTGAGTCTCATTTCACAAGTATCCCTGATGCTTTCTGGTGGGCGGTGGTATCCATGACCACTGTGGGCTATGGTGACATGTACCCTGTGACAATTGGAGGCAAAATCGTAGGCTCCTTGTGTGCCATCGCTGGTGTGCTGACAATTGCCCTGCCTGTACCTGTCATCGTGTCCAACTTCAACTACTTCTACCACCGAGAAACAGAAGGGGAAGAACAGGCTCAGTTACTTCACGTTAGCTCCCCTAATTTAGCATCTGACAGTGATCTCAGTCGCCGCAGCTCCTCCACAATCAGCAAATCTGAGTACATGGAAATCGAAGAGGATATGAATAATAGCATAGACAATTTTAGAGAGGCTAATCTCAGAACTGGCAACTGCACTGTAGCCAACCAAAACTGCGTTAATAAAAGCAAGCTGCTGACTGATGTGTAAACAAAATAACCAAAATCCCCACTCCCAGCTCGAAGACTTTAGTGACAGAGTCACACTTTGTAGATGCTTTACTGATAGTCTTTGAATGCTTTATTTACCTCGTAAATGCATTGTTGCATTGCGAATTTTTGCTCAGAGATAAAGAAGCTTCCAGGATCCATGAAAGATAAGATTTTGTTTATTTTTAAAAAGCGTTTTCCACCTGGTAAATGATAACCATTTGAACTAGTTTAGTTTTAAGCTGTATGACGCTAGACTTAACCTTTTCCTCTCACATCTCCCATTTTTTTTTTTGGATGACGTTAACTTAAACTAAGCAAGACAGTTTTTAGAGTTATAAAGCATATGCATGGATTCCAGTAAAAATATTCTGCAAAACTGCACAGTTGCAAGAAAGTGCATCAGATAATAATAAAAAAGATTAGCAAAAACCTGCAGCAAGCATTTGCCATGGTTTTTATGAAGGAGTGCAAATTTTCCTTCCGCCCTTGATGAAACTTCAAAAGATTACATACTTCCAATCTACAGATCCACACAGCACCTTATTAAAAACATACTTAAGCCTGGTCTCTCTTGCTGTCCGTAGAAGAACTATTCTAAAAGGAAAAAAAAAAAAACCTGAAGACAAAACATCTGCAATGCTGCTAAGTTCTCTTACATGCAGATGATTTAAATACACTTTTCTTTTTCCCTGTCCAGAACTGGATAGAAAACTTTAAGCCCCTCCTGTTGCAAGATAGCACAATGGAGTTTACTATAAGCATGTTTGAATTTGATACTATTTATTTTATAATCGCATGCCTGAAACATTACCTCAGACAATAGCGGATAAGCTTTCGTTTGAACTGAATCTTCTAAAAATAGGTCCTTTATCTCTCTTTTTTCTTTTCTTTTACTTTTTGATTTGCATTCACCAGAAGTGCACTCCTTAATTTATTAAATTGTTGACTAGTAATTTAAAGTACTGTATTTAAGTGCGTATGTTAATCAAATGGGAACAATAACTTTTGGAGATCAAAGCATGTTCAAATATTCAGCATTATGGCCTATTTGATTAAGGTGTAACTTGAAGTAATTAATGCATGAATTCAATAATAATAATAATAATAAAATTAATAATAATAAAAACAAATTTTAAAAAGTGCTTGATAGACCGAGGGCCTGAATGAACCGGTTAGAGAAACCTGATTGTTTTCCTGCATTGCTCAGGGAAATGTGTTGGCTTCTGTCCAGGCTTTGTCGGAAAGGAACATATCCCATCCCTTAAAGGGAAAGCTATATGGAAAATTAAGAAGTCAAGTTATATATAGCAACACCTAAAACCTAGTATCCTTTATAGCTGAAAGGTGCAGATGCATGCTTTTTGGTGCATTCTCAGAATGTCAATTAAACTTATCTATTATATGCATCCAAATTGCAGCAGCTGGTTGCTTTTGCAGTCATTAGTTGAGACTTTTTTGTGTTCCCCCAAAACTCACTGAAGAGACTCAACAGATTGATTTAGATAGTTTCACTGTGCCTTTATCTTACGTCCCCTAATTTGCTGAAAGTGCCTCCAGGAACTGAGCTGTAAGAGTTAGCGAAGGAAAGGGCAAAGCACCAACACACTGTCAGGAGTTCTGTGCTCCCTCCTGGCACAGCGCAGAAGGGAGTAGAGAAAGAAAGAAAAAGAAAGAACGTAAGAAAGAGCGAGCAAGGGTGAGTGAGAGGGATGCAGAAGAGGCGGGCAAAGCCCACCAGCGCCCATGGGATACCTTCCTTCCCCAGCCACTGCGGTGCTGCAGGGCTCAGCATTTGCTTCTGCCAGATAACTCATAGTCGTGTTTCTGCAAGACTTCAAGTTTCCCTAGGTTGTTTATAGAGACATTGCTGCCGTCATCGTATCTCCCCTTCCTTTCCCTGAGATGGCTTTTTGGCAGCCTGTCCCGTCATGGCAGGACACAGGAGGAACTAGGGACCAGCATGAACTGCGGCGTCGCCCAGTCGGGCAACTGTTCTTTCTGTGCTGTTCTTTCCCTTGGATTCCCCAGCAGGTAGGTGGGAGAGGCTTTCCAGTGCCCTCTCATCCCTGCCTCCTCCATCCCCTTTTGGCAGCCTGTCAGATCTTAAATGCCATCACAGATCCTTTGAGCCATATTCTTCTTTCTGGTCCCTAACCATACTCTACTTCCAACATCATCGGGTGAAGGAAGCAACACTAGGAGAAGGTATCTTCTGCAATATGACAGCCTTGACTGCTAGGCCCTGGAAGATAATAACTTCTGATCTGAACTAATTTAGGCACTAATCTTTATTTTTTAAATGAGCAAAGTTGAGGATCTTCGTTCTGCACTTAGCATGTGGCCAACTGCTGTTGAACACTTCTCCTTCCACATTGTACAGATCCTTTCTTCCCCTATCTTTCTCATATATGTATATATGTGAATAAATATATATATGTGTCTGTGCATGTGTGTGTCACACACATATATGCAGACACGCATATATAAAATTAAGGCACTTAGAGTTAAAAAACCACCCTAACTCTGCAGTTACGCACAAGCCTGACCTGCCAGGTTTCCAGAAAGACTTGACTTTATTTCTCACTGTGTGGCTTCTGTGAATCTTAGTGTTGAGAAAGCGATCAAGAACTGAGGGAGCTCTAACTCCTGCAAGAAATGCAAAGCATCAGATAAAGCAGGGCATTACATCCTCTAGGTAGATGTTGTAAAGCTTCCTGTCCCTCACTCGCACCCCTGCCCATTGTACACCTCTCTCTCCATTAAATTCTGGTGGTCCTGATCTTCCCAAACTCTTGAACTGTAGAATGTGAGTTCTCATGTCAAAATGGACTTGAATGCTGCACTCAGCTTATAAAACAACCAACTGACTAAACTAAACAGCAATAATCAATTCAGACTGATGATCAGAAAGTAGCATCTGGGAGGTGAGGCCTCACCTTGGTAATTTAACTTCTGCCACAGTTGGGTATGCACACCTTAGTTTAATGAGCAGAATGATAATCATCCTGCACATGTAAAGAGAAAAGTGCTGCATGCAGCGATTCTTCTTTGTCAGGAGACCAGGATGCATCATTAGGACTCGGGGTGGTTTGGGGAGCCTGAGTGTTGCTTTTTCCATTTATAGCTCACCACAAAGGATCTCAATACATATGGAGTACAGGAATTAACCTCATGTAGCATAGGCATGTGTTTTCAATGAGTTTGACACAAAAAAATAAAAATAACAAAATAGCTCTTACTCCCTATACACAGGAGTGCTGAAATGTCTTTGTGGGCCTGAAGGTGCACTTAACAAACTGCCTGTTCTGACCAGTAAAAGCATCCTTCCTTCCTTCCTTCCTTCCTT